CGGCTCTGGCTCCAGGTCCACCTGCCACACCATCCTGAGGAAGACGGTCGAGTCAAGTCTGAAGACGTCCATCACATACTGAGTGACCCGGAGGCCATTTGCTCCTCCCGCCCTCCCACCTTCCTGAGCCCCCTCAGCTCTTCTCCCACTCTTATCACTCCCATCCCTGCATGGCCAGCTCTGTGTCCACTGCCCACAGCCCGAACCAGCCCACAGGGGATTCTGCAGAAGTCAGTCGAGTCCTGCCTGCTGTTCTGAATCCTTGCCCAGTCTGGCCTTGTTCCGCGTACTGATTTGCATCTCATTTGTCCGCTGCCTACACTAACCAAGGAGCACAGCGCCGAGCCTCCAGCCAGCCAGGCTTGTCTCCTTCTCTCTCCACAGCCTTCAGCCGAACTAGGAAAACTCCTGGTTGGGCTTGGCCAGACTGCATCCGCATCCCAAGGGAGAGGCCTGAGGCCCACTGACCAGAGCCTGAGGGCTGGAACCAAGGGACACCATCCTTGCCCTCTTCAGCAGCCTCTGGGCCTCCATTTCTGTATTTCTGTCCAATTATTTCCTGTGAAATAAAGCAGCACCCAGTTCTCCTGGTAGTGGGTCTTCCTTTCTCTCTCCCTCATCCTCCCCCCTCCCTCCCTCCCATAAATTTTATTGAGTGCCAGGACTAGGGCTACTCTGGCAAACAAGATCAGACCCATTGTGCCCTCCTAATGTGTCTTTCTCACCCCTTCTGTTCCTGGTGTCTCCTGCATAACCCCTCCCATTCATGAGAGCCAGACCTTCCTTCTTGGAGCCCTTGGTTTCCAGGGCCAGAGGCTGGCCTTTGACAGCTAATTCAGTTACCCTGGGTTTGGAGATGGGGATTTGTGCTGAGGTCCTCTGTGTTCTGTCACTTCTTCCAGTCCCCTCCCAGTGATGCGCTGGCTCCAGCTCTACCCAGGGTGGCAAACCTGGGTCTTGTCACCTCACCCCCATCTCTCATCTCTGAGCTTTAACCTGGCCCTTCTCCTGGGCAGGTTAATAATTCAGCAATGATGCTAAGCCATAGCCTTAAATATGTGTTGAAAGGGCATTTAGAGGACAGGCTGCAGGCCAGAGATGAAGGTCCTTTTGGCAATGTGCGGCTTCTCTGCCGCTCCTTCCAGCAATTCAGCTCTGCCCCAGGATTGCACAGCTCACCCAGCAAAACAAAAGCTATGCAGCTACCCAGCTCACTCTCCTCGGGAGGCAATTTATGGAATATCTATGGTTGTTTGGGTAGGTCCTGTGGACATCTCACTCCTCACCCCAATCAGCTCATCAAGGGATTCTTTCCAACCCTCCACTATGCTCCCTGGGATGCCCTCCATCTCCTCCATCCCACTGATGTTTTAGTATCTCTTGTATCTTGCTCCCTGCTTAACTGCCTACAATGGGCTCTACTCCTGACCCAGGACAGCCCCATTCATCCCTGTTCCTCCTTCTTCCCAAGTCTGCACCAGTTTTCCTCCCACCTGGAAACCTTCCCCTATTCTCCATGTCAGAATGCACGAGACCCTTCTTGTCCCTGGCACAGTCTGGCTGCACCCGTTGCTGTTCTTGGCTCTGTTTCTGTCTGGTTCTTGTCTGGAACGCAGGTTTCCTATTAGCCTGGGACCTCTGGGCAGGCTCTTCTCCTGCACCCTGGATGGGGATCAGCAGCTCAGCTTGTGCCTGGAGGCTTGATGGGTACTTGGGACTGGAACTATGCCCCATCCCTCCTGCCCTTTGGCGCTCGTCCTATCTCTGGGCCTGTCTGAACATGACCCTGGAAACATCTTCTCCTTCCCTCTTCTGCAGGAAGCTCTGCATGAAGCCAGGAGTGTGGGCATCAGGGGCAGGCGCTAAGAGGGAGGGAGGGTCACCTTCTCATCCTCCAGCAGCCCATCAGCTCCTGCACTGCTCCTTCCCTCTTTCCTGTCTCCACCTGGTCAACTCCCAACTCCATGGCCTGAGCTGCAGGAGGTCACGCCATTGCCCTCTGCTTTATGGGGAAGCCAGCCCTTTTCTCAGACCCACAGTTCTCTCCATCAAAAGTATCCAAGAAGGAGCTTTTCAGCCTTTGCCTTCTATGAGGGAGACATGAATGGGTAGGCACATGGCCCTGGAGCTAGAATTCCTGGGCTTGAATCCTGGCTCTGCTATTTACTGGTGGTGTGACTTTGACCAAGTACTTGACCTCTTTGTGCCGCAGTTTCCTCACCTGTGAAAAGACTTTAGTAATAATAATACCTACCTCACCGGGCTGTGTGGGGATGGGACCATTCAGGGTCCCAGAAGGAAACCAATTTACCTAAGATAGTTCAACTAAATGGACTTTAATGAAAGGATTCCTTACAGAGGTGTGGATGTGGCTAAGGGCAAAAACACAGGATGGAGAGGCGAGAGGCAGGCAGTTGTGGGAAGCCTTTGCCACCCCCCCCCATCCCCCCACTCCCCCTGAGCAGGGGTGGCCAACCTTTGGTTTGTCCAGCACCCAGGGGTTTTCCAGGGTGTGGGACTTTCAGTGCTAAAGCAGGACAGTCCCAGGAAAATCAGGACGAGATGGTGGCTCTGAGTAGAGCTGAAGAGACAAGAGGAAGAATGGATGACTGACTGGGTGATAGAGGTGAGGGGATGGGAAGAAGCTGTAATCACAGAAGAAGGCAGCCGCCTCTGGAGCAGGGAGGAAGCCAGGAGGACATAGCCACCTCTCTCTCAGATCTCCAGCTAGTGTCCCCTCCTCGGCCAACCTCCTCCTCCGGAAGCCAGAGAGGCAGGGAGCAGCCTGCAGGGGTCAAGGAGGTCTGGGAATGGATCGGGGGCAGAAAGGATGCAAACGGAGCATCCCCAGCGTAGGGATTGGATGCATTATTGCATGGAAAGTAAGTGCTCAATAAATGCCAACTATAATAATTATTCCTAATTATTGCATGGAAAGTAAGTGTTCAATAAATGCAGACTATAATAATTATTCCTACTAGATGAGAAAGCCCTGCCCTGGATGGGGCTCCTCAAGGGCAGTGGCTGTTTTCTTCACCTCTGCATCTTTCCTATCGTTCAGCCTGACTCATGTTGGGTGCCTGGTTGATGCCATAGGCTGTCTCCCCTCATCCTTTCCATAGCGGCAGCAGCACTCTGTCCCCTCTGTCCTTGTGTCCTGTGCAGGGAGAGCCCCTGGACAGGGGAAGGTCTCAGAGATGGAAGCCCTTGGTCCAAGCAGCAGAGGTGGGGAGGGAACCATGCCTCCTACACTAAGAAGGTCTGAGTTTGGGTGTCCTGTATAAAGATGAGTGGAGAGTTGGACTGGAGGAGGCACAGTGGCTCCATGCTGTCTGGGCTGGGACTGGTGAGACTGTCTCCAAGCAATAACAGTTAGAGTGGGCCCTGGGCTGCCTGAGCGGCTGTTACCAGCTCCCAGCACAAAGCCTGGCACACAGCACCAGGTAAATACTGGAGGATGTCAGTCTCTAGGGAGAGGGGGAGTGTGTGTTTGCAGCTGACTCTACTGCCACCATCCTGGCTGCGCCTGACTCAGATGACTGACATCACTCCCTTCCCCAGTTGCCACTGTCTCACCCTCCCATGCTCCATGGGGAGAGATAAGGGAGCTGAGAAAGTGATTACAGCCTCGGGGACAGGAGACAAAGGTTAGTGGAAGTGATGGCTCAGTTCTGGGATGGTGGGTCAACAATTTTTTTTTTCTGTTCTTCTGCCTCATCTATTCTGCTATTCTTCTAGTGTATTTTTCACTTCAGTTATTTTATTGTTCAGCTCTGTTTGTTTGTTCTTTTTTTTTTTTTTGCGGTATGCGGGCCTCTCACCACTGTGGCCCCTCCCGTTCCGGACGCGCAGGCTCAGCAGCCATGGCTCACGGGCCCAGCCGCTCCGCGGCATGTGGGGTACTCCCGGACCGGGGCACGAACCCGTGTCTCCTGCATCTGCAGGCAGACTCTCAAACACTGCACCACCAGGGAAGCCCTGTTTGTTTGTTCTTTAAACCTTCTAGCTCTTTGTTAAATATTTCTTGTATCTTCTCTGTCTGTGCCTCCATTATTTTTCTGAGATCTTGTATCATCTTTACTATCATTACTCTGAATTTTTTCGGGTAGAGTGCCTATCTCCATTTCACTTTGTTGTTCTTCTGGGGTTTATTTTGTTCCTTTGTCTGGAACATATTCCTCTGCCATCTCACTTTGTCTGACTTCTGTGTTTGTGGTCCCATGGACTGCAGGACTGTAGTTCGCCTTGCTTCTGGTGTCTGCCCCCTGGTGGGTGAGGCCGATCTAAGAGGCTTGTGCAGGCTTACTAGTGGGAGGGACTGATGCCTGTCCACTGGTGGGTGGAACTGGGTCTTGTCCATCTGGTGGGCAGGGCCATGTCAAAGGGTGTGTTTAGAGGTGGGGGCCAGTGATTTTTGAAAGGATTTCCCTGGTGGGCCTTGCTTATAGGCAGAGGTGAAGGGGCCCAGAGAGGTTGAATGTTGCCCGAGGACATACACCTCAGTGGGGATTCATCTCCCAGCCCAGCTCCCCCAAGTGCCTGGTGTTCTAACTCTAAGCAGGGAGAAAAATCCTTCTTGGGCATTAAGGGACTAGTTCTGTGAGTGCCTTCACCCCCATCCTCCATGGGAGGCTGGGTTCAACTCCTTCAGGCAACTGGGAGCCATTTATAGCTTCCCAGAGGCCCTAGAAAGGATCCCACAGCCTCCTGGAGTGGCCCGCTCTCTGCCTGCCTTCCTGTGGGGGCGGTCCCATGTCCTGTCCTTTGGGATCCTGGGGACACAGTTGCTGAGAGTCCCAGCTCTAGCCCTGGCAGCTGTGTGAGGACCACAGCAAATGCTGTCTCTGCTCCTTCCTCAGGAAAGTCTCTCTCCTCTTGCTGCCACTTCCTTGCTGAAAGCTAAGGTGGGCGAGGAGGAATAATCTCTAACTCAGGTCCTCAATGCTCCCTCGTCCTAACACTTGACTAACACTGGTGTCACCCATTTCTCCCTTGGGGATATGTTTGGTCCCAGCAGCCTGCGGTGGGTGGGCGTGGAGGAGACTCTGCGATGTGATTTGAGGAACCCCCCGGCCTTTCTGGATTGAGCACTGGGGCTCCGCGGGCTGGGAAGACTGGGGTGTCCATAGGCCTCTCGGGGCTTTTCTTGGATACTTACATCTTCTTTTTTCTTCTTTTTCTGCCGCACTGTGTGGCATGAGGGATCTTAGCTCCCGGGAGCCTGGGCAGGGACCCTCTTCTGTCTTTGTATCCCCTTTGCCCAGCACAGGATCTCCACCGAGCAGACAGTTTGCCAGCGTATGACAAAAGATCAGGCTGCCTGCCCCCTGCCACCCCAGGCTGTCACCTGTGCCCCTACACCCTGGACCTGCCAGGAGACACCGAGGCCGTGGGCTGGGAGGGTGGGACTGGAACAGGTCTGGGCACCCTCTCCACAGCCCCTTGCCCCATGCCTCCGCCCTCACCACCGCACAGCCTGGGCCCTGGGGCCTTGGCTTACCACAGGGGCCTGGGACCAACCCCAGAACAGAGCCCCACTGATGGTGGCCACTGGGTGGGAGGAGGCCAGCCAGCCACTGAGTGGTGGCCGTGGCCATGGCAGCCCCTATCATCCTGTTCCAAGTCAGGAGCGCCCCAGTGGGAAGAAGGAGGTGGCATCCTGCCCCAGACGGTCTCGGCTCAGCCCCAGCTCTGGAGCTCAGGCAGTAACTGGGAGCAGCCCCTCCCTCCCGCTATGGGAGAGGAGACTCCCCTGACCCACAGGGCCCCTCCCTCTCTCCAGGGGCGATGGGGCAGGAGTGTCTGTGGAGCCCAGGATCCTGGAAAAGATAAAAAAGCCATCAGTGGCCCAGCAGTTCACCGTGCTCTTTCCCAGCTCTCCTGGCCTGCGCTCCAGCTCTGCTGCAGCCACGAGGTCCTCCATGTCTCAGCAGACGTACTCCACCAAAGGGGCCTTCAGCTCTAACTCTGCCAGCGGAGGGGGCGGCTCCCAGGCCCCCAGCAGCATCAGCTGGGTGACCGTGTCCCGGAGTGGTGGCAGCGGGGGGAGGGTCCGCTGTGGCCCCAGCACGGGCGGCTTTCGCAGCCGGAGCCTCTATAACTTGGGGGCCAGCAAGAGTATCTCGGTGAGCGTGGCTGGAGGGGCCTCATCTGGACAGGCCCTGGGAGGCTTCGGCCTTGGTGGTGGGGCCTATATGGGCCCGGGGGCTGGCAGGCAGACGTTTGGGCCCACCTGTCCTCCTGGAGGCATCCAGCAGGTCACTGTCAACCAGAGCCTGCTGACCTGCCTCAGTGTGGAGATCGACCCAGAGATCCAGCGGGTGCGCACCCAGGGGCGGGAGCAGTTTGCCTGAACCAGTTTGCCTCCTTCATCGACAAGGTGAGCCGAGGTGGAAGGAGGCAGGGAGGGGCCATAGAGTGCAAGCCAGGCCCCTAAGAGAGGGTGGGCTGGGTGGAGGCTGGTGCAGCCCATGTGCACTGGGGCCGGAGTGGATGGAATGACCTTTGGAGCCCTTCTGGCCTGAGCGTGGGACGCCTGGACCCGAATGGCTGGACCGTCTTTACTGTAGTTGATGGTGAATCTCGAGTCCACTCATGAGGCCTGTTGGCCCAGCCTAGCTTGACCGTGTTGCATCCTTTCTTATAGTCGTCATTAATGGGGTTACACAGCAGCCTTGTCGCCCAATTAAACAGCGGATTGTTCTCATTGCTCTTCTTAGTGGGGTGGCCCTTACTGCCTCTTGTTGTTTTATAGCTGGGAAAACTGGCTCAAGTGTCAGGTCTCCAAGGAACCCCATCTGTTGCCTGTTCTCTTAGTTTTGGAGGAGGTCTAAGGACAAAGATGTGATCAGGACACAATGGTGGGGGGGGGTCCTAGGGGAAGTCTCCTTTTCCCTTCTCCAATTCTTCCTCGCTGTTCCAACCAAGGAGCTCAGTTTGGGGTGGAAAATGAGCATGGTGGTCACCAGGTCATCATGACCCAGGGATATGCGGTTTGATCTGTCCCAGATCGGGAGTGTCCTGACTCCTCCTCTGGCCCTCAGGCCAACTAGGGAAGCTCTCGTAGTAATCTCTGGCACTTCCAGGTCCACTTTGCTGCATTGTCTACCTCTACCCCGAGCCCCCCCAGGCAGTGGGACCATGATGAGGAAAATCCTGGTGGATGACTATACCTTGGTTCAGTGATTTGTGGGTTCCCAAAGGATATTCATGTCCCCTTTCTCATATGATACCCACAGTGTCTCATGAGAAATCAGTATAGGTGGTAGTGTGTTCCATTTTTTTTTAAAGGATTATTTATTTATTTATTTACTTATTTTTGGCTGCGTCGGGTCTTGGTTGCGGCATGCGGGCTTCTCTCTAGTTGTGGCATGCGGTTTTTTTTCTCTCTCTAGTTGTGGCGCACGGGCTTAGCTGCCCTGCGGCATGTGGGATCTTAGTTCCCTGACGAGGGATCGAAACTGCGTCCCCTGCATTGGAAGGCAAATTCTTTACCACTGGACCACCAGGGAAGTCCCGTGTGTCCATTTTTAAGAAGAGAAAATTGAGGTCTGGAGAGGTTGAGTGATTTGCCCAGGATCATATAGGTACTTGGAGGCAGAGGTAGCCCTGGGACTCAAGTTCGTGGCATAAAGAGGTCTTTTTGTCACTGCTGCCTAGTGCCCTGGGGCCATGTGACTGTGGGCCTGGGGTGCTGTGGAGGTGGGATCTGGAGAGACCTGATGGCAAAGGGTGAGGCAAGCTGTTCCGCCCACCTCCTCACCTTTTCCTCTAGTGACTTTTGTTTCTTTTGTGGGACTGTCCCAGAGGTCAAACAAGCAAAACCTTCTCAGACTCTCAGAACCATGGTCTGGGAGCTGGGGCCTGACAGGTTGTCCGTGTCTGGTATCCTGGAATCCTGGCTGGGCAGAGAACCCCTCTGGGGGCCCATTAAGTTCACGCCATGAGCACCCTTCTGAGTCTGTAGAAATAGGGCTGGACATCCATATTTTAAAAATTAAAAAAATGTCAAATTTACAGAAAAGTTGCAATAATGGTACAACATGTTCTTATATTTCCTTTTACCCAGATTCACTAATTTTTAGCATTTTGTCACGTTTGCTTTCTTTCTCTCTGTCTCTCTGTATGTATATTTGTATATATCCATATGTACCTATATATACATGTATATTATATATGTATCTGCATTAAAAATTTGATTTTGATGCAGAATTGAGGTTCAGAAACATTGATCTAGTTTGATTTACCCAGGACAAGTGAGAAAGGGAGACCCAGGAAGAAGTGACTTGACTTTTTCCTGGGTCAGGAAGTAAATGACTGACTGAGCTGGGCTTTTTTTCTTTTTTTAAATTTATTTATTTATTTTGGCCACGTTGGGTCTTTGTTGCTGCGCCTGGACTTTTTCTAGTTGCTCTGAGTGGGGGTTTCTCATTGCGGTGGCTTCTCTTGTTGTGGAGCATGGGCTCTAGGCATGCGGGCTTCAGTAGTTGTGGCTCGTGGGCTCTAGAGCACAGTGGTTGTGGCACACGGGCTTAGTTGCTCTGCGGCGCGTGGGATCTTCTCAGACCAGTGTTCGAACCCATGTCCCCTGCATTGGCAGGTGGATTCTTTTTT